ATATTTGAAGAAAATCAGAATGTAACAAATTTAACGTTAACAAATATACATAATGTGTGTGTGTGTGTGCTCTACTATTACTATATTATTTCTAATATCATACTTTATTATATACTACTATATTAAATTGAGAATTTTGTTATTTTTTTTTTGGAAACGTTCCATATGTAATTTTCTTGTGTATACGTCAGCTTAATTTTGGCTTTTACATCTTTTTATTATTTTTTACCTCTCTGTGTAAATACGAAGTCTTGTTACTATCAGTTAATGATACCACAAGGGATACAGTTCGTATTCCATATGGACAAGAAAGTCTACGACGAGTTTCGATTAAATGTGGTAATGAGGAATGTGAAATATCCCTCGAGGCACCATTATTCCTACCTTATATAACTGCATTCTGAATATACTTTGTTATGTCTTTATCGAAAAAAGTTCATATATATTATATAGTGAGCTATTTGTTTCTTTATGTACATTTCCATATTTTCATTTAATAGCTATTGCTAATAATTAATATAGCTTGATATTCGATTACATATATTTTGTAATATAATCAAAGCACACAATGCATTTTATAAAGAATATTTATAAAACTCTTTGCCAAGAGAATAAAAATATTAATACTGACAATGAAACAAAATTGTTACACAAATTTAACAAATTTTTTAATTAATTTTTTAATTAATTTTATATAAAATTATTAATAAATCTAGTAAAGCCTGACATGCATAAATGATTACTAATATTAAAGCATAAAACTGTTATTTCTTATTGAAATTGATAAAATAAAGATTTATATATATTGCAGAGATAAATATGTAGGTCGAGAGTTTCAATAGAATTCCAGAAGCGATTCACGCAGTAATTTGAAATTATGTGGGTAATTAAATAATTAATCATGGTAAATGGCATAACATGATATGGGGAAACAAGTTTTGTTGGGTTCGCATGTAATTCGTGGCACGGCATCGCATGTGGCTGGCTCTTTCGTCATTGAAACTCTGACACGCTCATAAACACGGAGCTCATTCGCTCATAAACACCGCATGCTTATCGTGTAGACCTGTTAGAACCCAATTATATGGATCCGATCGCAATCGAAGGCTGCATTCGCTAAAAACATGCAGAAACTCACTGATCTTAGATGGAAATATACCGCTTTTACCGCAAACGGTGTAACGCTCTGATAGGGGTGTAACAAGTAAAGTTACAGCGAAGGGCGATAATAATTATACTTGTTGTACATTATCGCAGAAATATTCGTTCGCGCTAACTTTTAGCGCAAAAATAGTGTGAATGCAGATGTCAATTATTTTTAATGCAATATATATATATATTGATAATACTTCTAATATATGTATATATAATTATTTTATGTTAATTTACTAAATTTTTACTTATTTTATTTATATTTATTTATTAAAACTTATTAATTTTTTAAAATTAATTTTTAAATAAATAATTTGTCATTGCGAAAAAATGTAATAGAGAGATTGGAATAAAATGCGAGAATAACAAATAATAGAATGTACACATAAATTATTCATTGTTTGAGTAATAGCATAAAAGAAAAATGTGACATTTAGACAGTATCTAGACAGTATTTAAACAGTATGATAAATATTTAATATAGAGTCATAGAGGCATAAATAATGAAATTAATCTAATTATTTAATCTGTAATACGTTAGCTTATAATGAACATTGTAAGTAAATAATTTAGTAAGTTTTATTAATTATTATCAATTAAATTTTGCCATGGAGATTGGAGTCTATAATTTTATCTTATAATTCATACTTTATTAAAATTGATACTGTACAAAGTATTTTTGCATGTTATAAATAACTCAAAAAAGGAGGGAAAAAGAAAATAATAGAAATGTTAAAATAATAAATATTAAAATTTAATATTTCTATTATTAAAACAATGTTAATATTTGTACTTATTATATATTGTAAAATTAGACTAATTGACAGCACAAAGATTCAAGTTGAGGACGATTAAAACGGGAGCAAACCAAAGATCGTGATATAATTATTTATTTATTTAAAATGATCCATTCGAAAAAGACGAAAAAATATGTGTCACACTTTTGAGTCGTGAACAAAAGACAAAGGTTGTTTATAAAACATGACTAACTCGTTACTAAAAAGAAACACATAACGGCTTAATTCACAGCAAAAGTTAGACTAACTCTTTAAATACAATTACGCGCCAAATACATCTTACATAATATATACATGTGTATATATATATAAAACAAAAACATTAATTTTTATAGAATATAATTTTTATATAGCTTTTTTATAGTTTTATATTGAAAATAGTAAATATTGCGAAAACTGAATGCTAGGGAAAAATAAGGTTAACAACATTATATAATATAGTATATGTACAACAAGGTAATTCAAGTTTTCCGGAAAATAACAGTAATAAGCAGCTTGGAATATGCAATTCATGCGATTCATGCGTGTATTATGGCATGTGGGAATATACCTATATTAGCGTCTGTACTAATGCATACCATCACGTGTATAAGCCCTTGTGTGTAACGGAATATTATTCCATATTCACATGTGTGTGTTTACCGCGGGCCACATCCTGCGCTGCATATATAACCGAGAGTTACAGAAGCGAAAATTTCCCGCTCTGTGTATGCCACGAAAGCGAAACATGTTTATACCATTTTTCTATTTCTCTTACCGAGAAAAGAGGCGACATTACGTGTACAGATTGCACATTTAAATGGTATAAATTAAATCTCTCTTTCTTCTTTGCTTGGGTTTTGATCTTTTACCTCCTTTTACTTGCTCTTTTTCACACATGTCTGAACACGTAAGAGTTGTTAAGTACAATTTCAAAGAAAGTAATTTTAAAATACTTAGAAATGTTATTTCAAATTATTTCAATGTACATATTATGTCAATAATATAAACATATTTTAATAAGCATAAAAATCTAATTTAGTTTTGCTTATTTGCAAATAAAATATCATGTATACATTAAAAAAAATTTAGTAATGAAAATAATATTTAGTTAAACAAGCGTCATTAAATCAGTAAATATGTAAAAATCAATATAATAGTAATCATATCTTGTCAGAAGTTTTCTATTATCTGTCGAAGCTGCTCATTCAAACGCTTTGCGAGTAGAAATTTACAGAAACGTGCAGACATATGCGATCGAGTGTTTCAAACGGATTTCAATCGTAAGTTATTTTACACACAAGACACGAACGTTGCATATAAATCAAGATTCCTCCAGCTTTCGTAAAAGATGTTCGTAAGTGCGCTTTTTTAATAAAAAAAGGTAGAACTATAAAATGGAAAAAAAAATCAGTGTAAGATGCTAAAAGAATAAAGCTCACCTTTTATCTATCGACGATATTTTGATTTATAGACTGGAATATTTTAGTAAATTGTTTTTCTGTTATTAAACAATTTTTCAAAATAAATATAGAAAAGGATACATTTTACAATTAAATATTATAGATACATCATAAATAATTAAGTTATTTATCTTACTGTATTTTTGTGTCTAATTAATTACGGTAAAAACTAATGTATACATCAATATACATGCAGTTTACATGACAAATTTTGAATCAAATTAAAATCTGCGTTTTTCCATTTTTTTAATCCACAAACTTTATACTTATATTTACATGAATAAATAATAAAGTGCAATTTATATTATCAATTGGATAAATTATCAAAAATCAATTTATTAATAATCTAGCTTTTGCTATTGTATACATTTCACATGAGAAAATTTTATGGAAAAGTTGAGCCAATCTTATCGGATAAGATACATTTCGTGAAACATGGAACGTACAGAAAAGTTGAAATAAATAATCGGCATCGTAATGTAGGCCGCAACGATAAACCGCATCGCACATATTGCACCAACCAACGCGTGATGTAATCGGAATGCAGCGGATCGTCTGTTTGAAAAATGCATCCGGTCCTCGTCTAAATTCGTTGGTAGCCGTGCACAATGTTTGTCCAGTGATGTGCAAAATCGCGCACAACATACTATCGTTTCGTGAGCGCGTGATTTTTGAATGAGATTGCCACAAGAAATGAATGGAGGAGAATATTTTTGAGAAATATACGAATGTACCAAAGTAGCTATCATAAATTTTATGAAACTACAAAAATTTTGCAAAATCGCTGGATTTAACTATTCTTTGGTAATATTTAAGTAGCGGGTTTATTACTTATTTACTTTAGTAACTTACTATTTATTATTTACTTTAATATCTCTCTTTTAAATTTATTATTATTAATATTATATATTATTTTAAGATTATATAATATGTAAATTTTTAATATAATTCAATATATTAAATTTAATATAAATAAATTAAAATTTATAATATATATAAATAATATATAACATGTATTTTTCAATATTTAATATAAGATAATAATTTTATACAACATATTAATATAATTTACATTTTAATATAATTTTATTTTACAAAATAAACATTTATAAAATTTTTAAATATTTTAATTTAAGATTTGCACGCAAGTGCACATAGATTAAATTTTTAATTTATGTTTATAACTACATATTTTGATCTTTAATTTAAATTATTTTAAGCCACAATAAAAAAATAATAATAAGCAAATAACTAAAGTAGAATAAATAAAAATAAGTTAAATTATATACATATATTTAAAAATATAATTGGACAACTTATATTATACATTTGATAGATCAATTCTTATACAATAATTTTATAATTTTATAAGTTTTACATTTAAATTAAAGTTTTACATTTACATTTAAAAAATATTTTTAAAATATTATGCAAAAATATAAATTTTTTATTCTAATTTTTATAATATATGATATATATGTATATTTTTTCATAAAAATTGATCTAATAATTAATAATTAAAATACAATCTTACTATAAAACAAATTTGTAATACATTAACATTTTTTATATATATTTCGAAATTAATTTTTTTTATTTAACTTTGCAGGTGAACGGATCCTGGAGTTTACCTGGGTTTGTTTGTGATTTTTATATCGCAATGGATGTAACCTGCAGCACGAGCTCTATATTCAATCTCGTGGCTATTTCGATAGACAGGTAAACATTTTTCTTTTGTTTATACAAAAATGAAAAGACCAATGTAAAAATATTGCGTGTATATGTGTTTAGAAAAAAAGTTTATTTTTCAAATAAAATCTATGTTTCTCCACATATAAAATATATTCAAAGTTAATTTTGTAAAAATTAAAAAAAAATTATTAAACTTAGCTACATATATTGATTAAGTTTACTTGTATTATTATTAATACTGAACCATTATACAGTGTAGTATTTTTGACAAATTATGTATATTATATAATACAAAGTAAATGTAAAATAAAATTATATCATGAAGAGGATATTGTTTTCTAAAATTCAAAAATTTTAAATTTTGCATAAAGAGAATAATGAAACAGATGAGTTTAATATAATAAACCAAATTAATTAATTATAAAATACATTACAATTTTGTACATTCTTTATTAAATTTTAATAGTGAAGGATATTATAGTTCTTGAAGAATTGTGGTAATCATCGAGAAAGTTCGAAAATCAGAAAGAAGTGACGTAGGTTGATTTTATTGGTTTACGTGCTTTGAATAGAATATGGATAGTAGCTACACCTCTGCTTGGACTTATTGATAAGAGAATTAGATGACTATTAAATGTAATTATTTTTGACAAATTAGTATAATCTTATTTAGAGTAAAAGATAAAAATTATTATATTTATAAATTCTATAAAAATTATATTATTAATTAAGCTGCAATAACAAATGTTTGCTTCTGCTTGGACTTATTGATAAGAAAATTAGATATATTAAATGTAATTATTTTTGAAAAATTAGTATAATCTTATTTAGAGTAAAAGATAAAAATTATTATATTTATAAATTCTATAAAAATTATATTATTAATTAAGCTGCAATAACAAATGTATAAATGCACAAATTATTGCATTTAGACATTTTTCTATTTGGAAGTAAATCTGTATAACTGTAGATTATTACAAGCAAATGTTTTTAAAGAATGTTTTACAAAGAAACTTCAAACTTTAAGATTGTTTGATAACAGTTTTTCCAAACTTAGGAAAATCCTGATTACAATGACTTATTGAAAGTTTTTATAGTCTTTTCATTCTTTCATAGAAAGTCTATATAATCAATATATATATATAATAAAATCAATAATAAAATTTTGCGAGCAATAAAAATATATATTTAAAGCAAAAACGTTAAAAACTAACTTTTCATAAGGCTTATGATTTTAAAAGTTTAAATTAAGTATATTTTATTTTGTACATGTTTTAAAGCAGAGGATCGTAATATATATTTGTCCAAAAAAGCATTATTTATAATAATAATTAATTGTGACGATTACGCGCGGCAAATACAAACGTTAATCGCATGAAATGCGAATTCTGAAAGATGAACGAGACAAAGGTGTTGTTAGATCCGCGGACACGGTTTTACGATGATATAATGCTCGCCGCGTGCGAGGGAATTGCAACGCACACAAATCGAATTTGAATTGCAGATACATAGCGGTGACCCAGCCGATAAAGTACGCGAAGCACAAGAACAATAGAAGAGTATGGTTGACGATACTGTTGGTCTGGGCGATATCGGCCGCGATCGGTAGCCCAATTGTCCTAGGCCTGAATAACACCCCCAATCGGATACCGGACCAATGTCTGTTCTACAATACGGATTTTATCATCTACTCGAGCCTGTCCAGCTTCTACATACCCTGCATCATCATGGTATTTCTCTACTATAATATATTCAAGGTGAGAACATTATTTTACCTTTTGTGCACAAATATGTCATCGTGCGATCTTATATTTTCTTCATGTGTAAGAACGAGTTGAGAAATGTGTATACATGGTGTTATCAGTATACTTTTACGATAAACATGTTAGCACGCACGTAACAGTTATATTCATCTTCAGATTTTGTCATAAAAAAAGTTATATATTGCTTTTTATTCAAGTTTTTATTTGATAAAATTTTTTATCGTAAAATCGTTATTGTAAAATTGTTATCGTAAAAACGTGTTATTTTTATGCACGCATAAAATATATAAAAAAAATTTTTTCTCAAAAAAGATCGAACAAACCCTGATATTACTAAGTAGGTCAAGAGTTAGTTAGCAAACATTATAGGATCATATTAGTAATCAAAATTGCATATATTGTATATATATATATACAATATATATATATATATAGTGATATCTGCTTTGTATCGTTGATCGTGCACTACTGGATAGAAAGAATTATTTAAACGAAAACTGTACGAAGAATATAAAATATTATTAACAAAAAGGGAAAGGTTGCCGGAAAATGTATGATTTGTTATAGGAATGTAAATATTGATACACAGTGTAAATATGTTTAACGTCCTCATTTTTATCATTAAAATTATTTAAAAATGCTACTTTCTTTATTATGTTGAATATTTTATATCAATTATTATCAAAATGACTATCAACAATATATTTCAAAACAAATACAAAAATATGTCTGATTAAATATTTTTATCAATACAATACTTTTAAAATTATTCTTGAGGAATTAATAATAAGTTTATGTTTTATAATATATAATGTCTTATTATAAATGTAAAAAAATTATAAATATGAAGAATTTAAAAAAGCAACTTGATAACTAACAAATTGCCTGATAATTAACAAACTATATTCGCAAAATAGTTCATATAATTAAATATAATTTCATGTTATTTTGTTTTATATTACATCGAGAAAAGAGTATAAATCATTAATATTTATCAAACGGGATAATTGAACTTTCTTCTTTATCACACTCCAAAAACTTTTCCACTTCTGTATCACACATATCGACACATTCCTCAGAATCAGTAAGGTCAGTACTAACAATTGACTGATAAAAACTGCTTGATGTGGCAGTATCGTTACCAGAACTTAAAAGATTGCTTGAAGTATTTGATAATCTGCACAGAATTGTGAAAATATAAATATCTTGAATTAATATCTTAACGTTTTGCTTGTTAATTATATGCACATAATTGTACAAATTATATATATATATGACCCATACAGAGTTACGACCGGGATAATTGAATAACTTTCTTCTTTATCACACTCCAAAAACTTTTCCACTTCTGTATCACACATATCGACACATTCCTCAGAATCAGTAAGGTCAGTACTGACAATTGACTGATAAAAACTGCTTGATGTTGCAGTATCGTTACCAGAACTTAAAAGATTGCTTGAAGTATGTGATAATCTGCACAGAATTATGAAAATATAAATACCTGAATTAAAATATCTTAACGTTTTGCTTGTTAATTATATGCACATAATTGTACAAATTATATATATATATGACCCATACAGAGTTACGACCGGGATAATTGAATAACTTTCTTCTTTATCACACTCCAAAAACTTTTCCACTTCTGTATCACACATATCGACACATTCCTCAGAATCAGTAAGGTCAGTACTGACAATTGACTGATAAAAACTGCTTGATGTTGCAGTATCGTTACCAGAACTTAAAAGATTGCTTGAAGTATGTGATAATCTGCACAGAATTATGAAAATATAAATACCTGAATTAAAATATCTTAACGTTTTGCTTGTTAATTATATGCACATAATTGTACAAATTATATATATATGACCCATACAGAGTTACGACCGGGATAATTGAATAACTTTCTTCTTTATCACACTCCAAAAACTTTTCCACTTCTGTATCACACATATCGACACATTCCTCAGAATCAGTAAGGTCAGTACTGACAATTGACTGATAAAAACTGCTTGATGTTGCAGTATCGTTACCAGAACTTAAAAGATTGCTTGAAGTATGTGATAATCTGCACAGAATTATGAAAATATCAATACCTGAATTAAAATATCTTAACGTTTTGCTTGTTAATTATATGCACATAATTGTACAAATTATATATATATATATGACCCATACAGAGTTACGACCGTTACTCTATAAAAGTAATGCGTTACCGTTACTGTTTATAAAAATTAACGCGTTATCGTTACCGTTACTCAAAAAGTAACGATTTGTTACTTTTTTGTTACATTTTCGGTTTTTGTAATGCTAGAGCCTATTACTATTAAAATGTATAATTATATGTAGGAAGCGTTTCTTAAATATTAAATATTTATTTGCATTTATTGCATGCAATCTTTATTATTTATTATATATTAATTTAATATTAACTCAGATAGAACTAAAAAATAACGATAAAAGTAACGGCTAATTCGTTAGCGTTACTGTAAAAATGTAACGACGTTACCGTTACTGTTACAGATAGAAAAAAGTAATGACCGTTACCGAAAAAAGTAACGGTAACGGTAATGACGTTACATATATATATATATATATATATATATATATATATATGTTATAAATAATATTAAAAAATTTGTTTCTGTCGATGCTTCTTGATAAACAGATAATTAACAAACTGTTCGCAAAATAGTCAATCTAATTATAATTTCATATTATTCCACTTTATGTTACATCGACAAATTAGTGTAAATAATTACTCAAATGTATCGGAAGAAATAAAAGTCGGATCATAATCCTTAAAGTAAGTTCTAAGTATAGATGGCTGCTGATGATTATTGCTGGTTGATGTTGGAATGTTTTCAACATTTTTACAAGGATTAAAAAGATTTTTTAATCTAATTGATAATCTGCATAACAAAATTAACAACAAAAATTATAAATTAATCAATGTTATAAGACGCTTGAACCATGTGTACAATGAATAATTATTAATTACAATAAAATTTTTTTCTTATTTAAGCAATTCTTATTGAAAAGTTTAGTTTCTATTTTTTTTCAATTTTTTTATAATTAAATTAATACAATTTGAATACTTATTAAATATTTTAATTTTTCTAAAAATTAAAATTTATTTTTTATTTATTGTACACATTTCTGTTCATTTTGTACATAAAAAGACATATAAAAGATAAAAAACATAGCAATAAAATTTTATCGATTATTCTTCTTACCTCTGTGGTATGAATTCTTGAGGTACAATGACATCATGAACTTTCTTTAAATGTATCATAAATATAAAGGCATGGTATTTACTAAATTGTTTGCAAATTTCGCATTTCGGAATAATGAATTGATCAATCACCCAGGTTTGGAGTTTATTTGCTATTTCTTTATTAAGTTTATGACTATTTTTTATGTGCTTTATCATATTATCAGTTCTATATACTGGTTCATAAGTATTATCACAATAATGGCATTTTAATTTGTGATTTATTTTAGAATGTGTCCATTTTGTTTCTGAGTTATTATAAATTGCAGAATGTTGTGATCTCATATGTTGCTTTAAACCGTGTGTTATATCGTTGTTGAATACATCAAAACAAATATTGCATTTGATAAATTCGCCGTTATATATTGTAAAGTAATGCCATGACCACGAGTCACGAGACCTTGAGGTTCTGCTTAAAAAATAAAAAGTACATATTGCTGAATTAATCAATATTTTAAAGTTTTGTTCGTAATTCTTGTGCATAACGTATAATTATTAAATACAAATAATAGATGTCAATCATTTGAAAAAAATTATTTTTAATTTTGTGTTTATATATCGATGCTTAATATGTAGATAATTAACAAATTGTATGTTCGTAAAACAGTCAATATAATTATAATTTCATATTATTCCACTTTATGTTACATCGAGAAATCAGTATAAATAATTACTCAAATGTATCGGAAGAATGAAAAGTCGGATCATAATCCTTAAAGTAAGTTCTAATTATAGATGGCTGCTGATGATTATTGCTGGTTGATGTTGGAATGTTTTCAACATTTTTACAAGAATCAAAAAGATTTTTTAATCTAATTGATAATCTGCATAACAAAATTAACAACAAAAATTATAAATTAATCAATGTTATAAGACGCTTGAACCATGTGTACAATGAATAATTATTAATTACAATAAAATTTTTTTCTTATTTAAGCAATTCTTATTGAAAAGTTTAGTTTCTATTTTTTTTCAATTTTTTCATAATGAAATTAATATAATTTGAATACTTATTAAATATTTTAATTTTTCTAAAAATTAAAATTTATTTTTTATTTATTGTACACATTTCTGTTCATTTTGTACATAAAAAGACATATAAAAGATAAAAAACACAGCAATAAAATTTTATCGATTATTCTTCTTACCTCTGTGGTATGAATTCTTGAGGTACAATGACATCATGAACTTTCTTTAAATGTATCATAAATATAAAGGCATGGTATTTACTAAATTGTTTGCAAATTTCGCATTTCGGAATAATGAATTGATCAATCACCCAGGTTTGGAGTTTATTTGCTATTTCTTTATTAAGTTTATGACTATTTTTTATGTGGTTTATCAAATAATCAGTTCGATATATTGGTTCATAAGACTTATCACAATAATGGCATTTTAATTTGTGATCTATTTTAGAATGTGTCCATTTTGTTTCTGAGTTATTATAAATTGCAGAATGTTGTGATCTCATATGCATCTTTAAACCGTGTGTTATATCGTGGTTGAATACATCAAAACAAATATTGCATTTGATAAATTCGCCGTTATATATTGTAAAGTAATGCCATGACCACGAGTCACGAGACCTTGAGGTTCTGTTTAAAAAATAAAAAGTACATATTGCTGAATTAATCAATATTTTAAAGTTTTGTTTGTAATTCTTGTGCATAACGTATAATTATTAAATACAAATAATAGATGTCAATCATTTGAAAAAATTTTTTTTAATTTTGTGTTTATATATCGATGCTTAATATGTAGATAATTAACAAATTGTATGTTCATAAAACAGTCAATATAATTATAATTTCATATTATTCCACTTTATGTTACATCGAGAAATCAGTATAAATAATTACTCAATTATATCGGAAGAATGAAAAGTCGGATCATAATCCTTAAAGTAAGTTCTAATTATAGATGGCTGCTGATGATTATTGCTGGTTGATGTTGGAATGTTTTCAACATTTTTACAAGGATCAAAAAGATTTTTTAATCTAATTGATAATCTGCATAACAAAATTAACAACAAAAATTATAAATTAATCAATGTTATAAGACGCTTGAACCATGTGTACAATGAATAATTATTAATTACAATAAAATTTTTTCTTATTTAAGCAATTCTTATTGAAAAGTTTAGTTTCTATTTTTTTTCAATTTTTTCATAATTAAATTAATACAATTTGAATACTTATTAAATATTTTAATAATTTACTTATTAAATATTTTAATTTTTCTAAAAATTAAAATTTATTTTTTATTTATTGTACACATTTCTGTTCATTTTGTACATAAAAAGACATATAAAAGATAAAAAACATAGCAATAAAATTTTATCGATTATTCTTCTTACCTCTGTGGTATGAATTCTTGAGGTACAATGACATCATGAACTTTCTTTAAATGTATCATAAATATAAAGGCATGGTATTTACTAAATTGTTTGCAAATTTCGCATTTCGGAATAATGAATTGATCAATCACCCAGGTTTGGAGTTTATTTGCTATTTCTTTATTAAGTTTATGACTATTTTTTATGTGGTTTATCAAATAATCAGTTCGATATATTGGTTCATAAGAATTATCACAATAATGGCATTTTAATTTGTGATTTATTTTAGAATGTGTCCATTTTGTTTCTGAGTTATTATAAATTGCAGAATGTTGTGATCTCATATGCATCTTTAAACCGTGTGTTATATCGTGGTTAAATACATCAAAACAAATATTGCATTTGATAAATTCGCCGTTATATATTGTAAAGTAATGCCATATCCATTCATCAGACCTTGATGTTCTGCATAAAATAAAAAGTACAAATTGCTGAATTAATCAATATATTTTAATGTCTTGTTCGTAATTCATGTGCATAATGTATAATTATTAAATACAGATAATAAATGTAAATCATTTGACAAAAGTTTAAAACATTTTGTGTCTATATCGATGCTTAATATATATGTAGATAATTAACAAGCTATATGTTCTCAAAAAAGTCAAAATAATTTTGTGATATTTTGTTTTATGTTACACTAAAAAAAGCAGTGTAAATAATTACTTATTGGTAGGAACACAAGGTGGATACGATGAACAACTTTCTTCTTTAGTAATCTCCATTGTCCTCTTATAATTATAATCTGCAATAAAATTTTCATGGTAAATTCAAAAATAAGTAAAGTTTGAATGTTGAAATAATTATGAATTATTATTATTAATAAAACATCTATATATATATATATATATATATATATATATATAGGGTACAACATTTTAATTTAATACAACATTTTTATTAAACATTTCTCGACAAAAATTTAAATTTCAATCTTTTTTTACTATTTTTATAATTTCGACATACACTTATTATTTAAATACAAATATTTTTGCTTAATTATTTAATTATTATACTTATTTAATTTAATAAAATTATAAATAGATATTACAACAACCTATTTAAATTGTTATAGATTACAAGAGTATAAAATACAACAGATGGCATATTTATACGATCGCATTTGAATATAATATTAGCTATATAAATAGCCTCAAATATTTATATCTATAATAATAAGCACCATCTGTCTGTATGTCTGTCTAACCGGTACTTTCACATTTATGGACCGATTTTCGTAAAACAGGTACTAAAATGTTGCAAATTTTTCGGGGATGGATGTTATGTGGTTTTTTTTAAGTTTTACACCTCCACCCACGCACCCACCCACGCAATTGCATATTTATGGACCGATTTTTTCGAAATTGGTACTAAAATAGTATATATCTAATATCTGTGACAAAATTACATTTTTAAAGTCTGAATTTTATTTCATTATTTATGATACATATACTATTCTGTTTAAAACTTACAAATGTACGTAAACACAAACAACACAAAATATAGATATACATATAAATGATTAAGAAAAACAAAATTATAATTTAATTATGTTATTTATTAATATTCAATATATTCTTGTGTGTGGTTTTAGGGTCAGTTTTATAACAGAACTTTTTTTGATATTTTGTAATTCATTTTTTTGTAATATAGTTTATTTTGTAACGAAATATTTTAATAAAATTGCTAAATTTTTTGTGAGTGATTTGATGATGAAACATGACTTTGTTAACCATCACTATGTATACTTTTTCAGGATTTTATTAAAATTTAATTTTGTATTCGATAGAATTAATAAAAATTATTACAAATATTACATGAACTATTGTTTTTTGATAGAATTCTATAATCAGTTTATTACCTTCGCTCGACGTGGCTATAATGATATCTGCTTTGTATCGTTGATCGTGCACTACTGGATAGAAAGAATTATTTTAACGAAAACTGTACGAAGAATATAAAATATTATTAACAAAAAAGGGAAAGGTCGCCGGAAAATGTATGATTTGTTACAGGAATGTAAATATTAATACACAGTGTAAATATGTCTAACGTCCTCATTTTTATCATTAAAATTATTTAAAAATGCTACTTTCTTTATTATGTTGAATATTTTATAACAATTATTATCAAAATGACTATCAACAATATATTTCAAAACAAATACAAAATATGTCTGATTAAATATTTTTATCAATACAATACTTTTAAAATTATTCTTGCAGAATTAATAATAAGTTTATGTTTTATAATATATAATGTCTTATTATAAATGTAAAAAAATTATAAATATGAAGAATTTAAAAAAGCAATTTGATAACTAACAAATTGCCTGATAATTAACAAACTATGTTCGCAAAATAGTTCATATAATTAAATATAATTTCATGTTATTTTGTTTTATATTACATCGAGAAAAGAGTATAAATCATTAATATTTATCAAACGGGATAATTGAACTTTCTTCTTTATCACACTCCAAAAACTTTTCCACTTCTGTATCACACATATCGACACATCCTCAGAATCAGTAAGGTCAGTACTAACAATTGACTGATAAAAACTGCTTGATGTGGCAGTATCGTTACCAGAACTTAAAAGATTGCTTGAAGTATTTGATAATCTGCACAGAATTGTGAAAATATAAATATCTTGAATTAATATCTTAACGTTTTGCTTGTTAATTATATGCACATAATTGTACAAATTATATATATATATGACCCATACAGAGTTACGACCGGGATAATTGAATAACTTTCTTCTTTACACACTCCAAAAACTTTTCCACTTCTGTATTACACATATCGACACATTCCTCAGAATCAGTAAGGTCAACTGACAATTGACTGATAAAAACTGCTTGATGTTGCAGTATCGTTACCAGAACTTAAAAGATTGCTTGAAGTATGTGATAATCTGCACAGAATTATGAAAATATAAATACCTGAATTAAAATATCTTAACGTTTTGCTTGTTAATTATATGCACATAATTGTACAAATTGTATATATATATGACCCATACAGAGTTACGACCGTTACTCTATAAAAGTAATGCGTTACCGTTACTGTTTATAAAAATTAACGCGTTATCGTTACCGTTACTCAAAAAGTAACGATTTGTTACTTTTTTGTTACATTTTCGGTTTTTGTAATGCTAGAGCCTATTACTATTAAAATGTATAATTATATGTAGGAAGCGTTTCTTAAATATTAAATATTTATTTGCATTTATTGCATGCAATCTTTATTATTTATTATATATTAATTTCATATTAAATCAGATAGAACTAAAAAATAACGATAAAAGTAACGGCTAATTCGTTAGCGTTACTGTAAAAATGTAACGACGTTACCGTTACCGTTACAAATAGAAAAAGTAATGACCGTTACCGAAAAAAGTAACGGTAACGGTAACGACGTTACATATATTATATTTATAGTAATATATATATATATAAATATATGTTATAAATAATATTAAAAAATTTGTTTCTGTCGATGCTTCTTGATAAACAGATAATAAACAAACTGTTCGCAAAACAGTCAATCTAATTATAATTTCATATTATTCCACTTTATGTTACATCGACAAATCAGTGTAAATAATTACTCAAATGTATCGGAAGAAATAAAAGTCGGATCATAATCCTTAAAGTAAGTTCTAATTATAGATGGCTGCTGATGATTATTGCTGGTTGATGTTGGAATGTTTTCAACATTTTTACAAGGATCAAAAAGATTTTTTAATCTAATTGATAATCTGCATAACAAAATTAACAACAAAAATTATAAATTAATCAATGTTATAAGACGCTTGAACCATGTGTACAATGAATAATTATTAATTACAATAAAATTTTTTTCTTATTTAAGCAATTCTTATTGAAAAGTTTAGTTTCTATTTTTTTTCAATTTTTTCATAATTAAATTAATACAATTTGAATACTTATTAAATATTTTAATTTTTCTAAAAATTAAAATTTATTTTTTATTTATTGTACACATTTCTGTTCATTTTGTACATAAAAGACATATAAAAGATAAAAAACATAGCAATAAAATTTTATCGATTATTCTTCTTACCTCTGTGGTATGAATTCTTGAGGTACAATGACATCATGAACTTCCTTTAAATGTATCATAAATATAAAGGCATGGTATTTACTAAATTGTTTGCAAATTTCGCATTTCGGAATAATGAATTGATCAATCACCCAGGTTTGGAGTTTATTTGCTATTTCTTTATTAAGTTTATGACTATTTTTTATGTGTTTTATCATATTATCAGTTCTATATACTGGTTCATAAGTATTATCACAATAATGGCATTTTAATTTGTGATCTATTTTAGAATGTGTCCATTTTGTTTCTGAGTTATTATAAATTGCAGAATGTTGTGATCTCATATGTATCTTTAAACCCTGTGTTATATCGTGGTTGAATACATCAAAACAAATATCGCATTTGATAAATTCGCCGTTATATATTGTAAAGTAATGCCATGACCACGAGTCACGAGACCTTGATGTTCTGCTTAAAAAATAAAAAGTACATATTGCTGAATTAATCAATATTTTAAAGTTTTGTTTGTAATTCTTGTGCATAACGTATAATTATTAAATACAAATAATAGATGTCAATCATTTGAAAAAAATTTTTTTTAATTTTGTGTTTATATATCGATGCTTAATATGTAGATAATTAACAAATTGTATGTTCGTAAAACAGTCAATATAATTATAATTTCATATTATTCCACTTTATGTTACATCGAGAAATCAGTATAAATAATTACTCATTGTCAAATGTATCGGAAGAATGAAAAGTCGGATCATAATCCTTAAAGTAAGTTCTAATTATAGATGGCTGCTGATGATTATTGCTGGTTGATGTTGGAATGTTTTCAACATTTTTACAAGGATCAAAAAGATTTTTTAATCTAATTGATAATCTGCATAACAAAATTAACAACAAAAATTATAAATTAATCAATGTTATAAGACGCTTGAACCATGTGTACAATGAATAATTATTAATTACAATAAAATTTTTTTTATTTAAGCAATTCTTATTGAAAAGTTTAGTTTCTATTTTTTTTCAATTTTTTCATAATTAAATTAATACAATTTGAATACTTATTAAATATTTTAATTTTTCTAAAAATTAAAATTTATTTTTTATTTATTGTACACATTTCTGTTCATTTTGTACATAAAAAGACATATAAAAGATAAAAAACATAGCAATAAAATTTTATCGATTATTCTTCTTACCTCTGTGGTATGAATTCTTGAGGTACAATGACATCATGAACTTTCTTTAAATGTATCATAAATATAAAGGCATGGTATTTACTAAATTGTTTGCAAATTTCGCATTTCGGAATAATGAATTGATCAATCACCCAGGTTTGGAGTTTATTTGCTATTTCTTTATTAAGTTTATGACTATTTATTATGTGGTTTATCAAATAATCAGTTCTATATATTGGTTCATAAGTATTATCACAATAATTACATTTATATTTGTGATCTATTTTAGAATGTGTCCATTTTGTTTCTGAGTTATTATAAATTGCTAAATGTTGTGATCTCATATGTATCTTTAAACTGTGTTTTATATCGGGGTTGAATACATCAAAACAAATATCGCATTTGATAAATTCACCGTTATATATTGTAAAGTAATGCCATATCCATTCATCAGACCTTGATGTTCTGCATAAAATAAAAAGTACAAATTGCTGAATTAATCAATATTTTAAATGTCTTGTTCGTAATTCATGTGCATAATGTATAATTATTAAATACAAATAATAAATGTAAATCATTTGATAAAAGTTTAAAACATTTTGTGTCTATATCGATGCTTAATATATATGTAGATAATTAACAAGCTATATGTTCTCAAAAAGTCAAAATAATTTTGTGATATTTTGTTTTATGTTACACTAAAAAAAGCAGTGTAAATAATTACTTATTGGTAGGAACACAAGGTGGATACGATGAACAACTTTCTTCTTCAGTAATCTCCATTGTCCTCTTATAATTATAATCTGCAATAAAATTTTCATGGTAAATTCAAAAATAAGTAAAGTTTGAATGTTGAAATAATTATGAATTATTATTATTAATAAAACATCTATATATATATATATATATATATATATATATATATATATATATAGGGTACAACATTTATAGATGCCTATATATATATAGGGTACAACATTTATAGATGCCTATATATATATATATATATATATATATATATATATATAGGGTACAACATTTTAACTTAATAAAACATTTTTATTAAACATTTCTCGACAAAAATTTAAATTTCAATCTTTTTTTACTATTTTTATAATTTCGACATACACTTATTATTTAAATACAAATATTTTTGCTTAATTATTTAATTATTATACTTATTTAATTTAATAAAATTATAAATAGATATTACAACAACCTATTTAAATTGTTATAGATTACAAGAGTATAAAATACAACAGATGGCATATTTATACGATCGCATTTGAATATAATATTAGCTATATAAATAGCCTCAAATATTTATATCTATAATAATAAGCACCATCTGTCTGTATGTCTGTCTAACCGGTACTTTCACATTTATGGACCGATTTTCGTAAAACAGGTACTAAAATGTTGCAAATTTTTCGGGGATGGATGTTATGTGGTTTTTTTTAAGTTTTACACCTCCACCCACGCACTCACCCACGCAATTGCATATTTATGAACCGATTTTTTCGAAATTGGTACTAAAATAGTATATATCTAATATCTGTGACAAAATTACATTTTTAAAGTCTGAATTTTATTTCATTATTTATGATACATATACTATTCTGTTTAAAACTTACAAATGTACGTAAACACAAACAACACAAAATATAGATATACATATAAATGATTAAGAAAAACAAAATTATAATTTAATTATGTTATTTATTAATATTCAATATATTCTTGTGTGTGGTTTTAGGGTCAGTTTTATAACAGAACTTTTTTTGATATTTTGTAATTCATTCTTTTGTAATATAGTTTATTTTGTAACGAAATATTTTAATAAAATTGCTAAATTTTTTGTGAGTGATTTGATGATGAAACATGACTTTGTTAACCATCACTATGTATACTTTTTCAGGATTTTATTAAAATTTAATTTTGTATTCGATAGAATTAATAAAAATTATTACAAATATTACATGAACTATTGTTTTTTGATAGAATTCTATAATCAGTTTATTACCTTCGCTCGACGTGGCTATAATGATATCTGCTTTGTATCGTTGATCGTGCACTACTGGATAGAAAGAATTATTTTAACGAAAACTGTACGAAGAATATAAAATATTATTAACAAAAAAGGGAAAGGTCGCCGGAAAATGTATGATTTGTTACAGGAATGTAAATATTAATACACAGTGTAAATATGTCTAACGTCCTCACTTTTACCATTAAAATTATTTAAAAATGCTACTTTCTTTATTATGTTGAATATTTTAATTCTTATCAAAATGACTATCAACAATATATTTCAAAACAAATACAAAAATATATTTGATTAAATATTTTTATCAATACAATACTTTTAAATTATTCTTGCAGAATTAATAATAAATTTATGTTATATAATATATAATGTCTTATTATAAATGTAAAAAAATTATAAATATGAAGAATTTAAAAAAGCAACTTGATAACTAACAAATTGCCTGATAATTAACAAACTGTATTCGCAAAATAGTTCATATAATTATAATTTCATGTTATTTTGTTTTATATTACATCGAGAAAAAAGTATAAATCATTAATATTTATCAAACGGAATAATTGAATAACTTTCTTCTTTATCACACTCCAAAAACTTTTCCACTTCTGTATCACACATATCGACACATTCCTCAGAATCAGTAAGGTCAGTACTGACAATTGACTGATAAAAACTGCTTGATGTTGCAGTATCGTTACCAGAACTTAAAAGATTGCTTGAAGTATTTGATAATCTGCACAGAATTGTGAAAATATAAATATCTTGAATTAATATCTTAACGTTTTGCTTGTTAATTATATGCACATAATTGTACAAATTATATATATATATATATATATGACCCATACAGAGTTACGACCGGGATAATTGAATAACTTTCTTCTTTATCACACTCCAAAAACTTTTCCACTTCTGTATCACACATATCGACACATTCCTCAGAATCAGTAAGGTCAGTACTGACAATTGACTGATAAAAACTGCTTGATGTTGCAGTATCGTTACCAGAACTTAAAAGATTGCTTGAAGTATGTGATAATCTGCACAGAATTATGAAAATATAATACCTGAATTAAAATATCTTAACGTTTTGCTTGTTAATTATATGCACATAATTGTACAAATTATATATTATATATGACCCATACAGAGTTACGACCGTTACTCTATAAAAGTAATGCGTTACCGTTACTGTTTATAAAAATTAACGCGTTATCGTTACCGTTACTCAAAAAGTAACGATTTGTTACTTTTTGTTACATTTTCGGTTTTTGTAATGCTAGAGCCTATTACTATTAAAATGTATAATTATATGTAAAAGTAACGGCTAATTCGTTAGCGTTACTGTAAAAATGTAACGACGTTACCGTTACCGTTACAGATAGAAAAAAGTAATGACCGTTACCGAAAAAAGTAACCGTAACGGTAACGACGTTTATATATATATATATATATAGTAATATATATATATATATACATACATATATACATGTTATAAATAATATTAAAAAATTTGTTTCTGTCGATGCTTCTTGATAAACAGATAATTAACAAACTGTTCGCAAAACAGTCAATCTAATTATAATTTCATATTATTCCACTTTATGTTACATCGACAAATCAGTGTAAATAATTACTCAAATGTATCGGAAGAATGAAAAGTCGGATCATAATCCTTAAAGTAAGTTCTAAGTATAGATGGCTGCTGATGATTATTGCTGGTTGATGTTGGAATGTTTTCAACATTTTTACAAGGATCAAAAAGATTTTTTAATCTAAATGATAATCTGCATAACAAAATTAACAACAAAAATTTTGAATTAATCAATGTTATAAGACTTGCTTGAACCATGTGTACAATGAATAATTATTAATCACAATAAAACTTTTTTCTTATTTAAGCAATTCTTATTGAAAATTTTAGTTTCTATTTCTTTCAATTTTTTTATAATTAAATTAATACAATTTGAATACTTATTAAATATTTTAATTTTTGCTTTTTTAAATATTTTCATAAATTTGGGATATACAAATATTATTTAAATACCATTTCCTTGTCCGATTATTTAATTTTTATACTTATTCATAATTTCTACTTAATTAAATTATTAAACATTACCAATTACAAGAAATACAATAGAGAACAAATTTGTGTAATTACATTTATATATAATATATATTAGCTACATAAGTTATATATTGACTCAAATATTCATATTCCTACGCATTTTATAAATTAAAATTTATTTTTTATTCATTGTACACATTTCTGTTCATTTTGTACATAAAACAACATATAAAAGATAAAAAACATAGCAATAAAATTTTATCGATTATTCTTCTTACCTCTGTGGTATGAATTCTTGAGGTACAATGACATCATGAACTTCCTTTAAATGTATCATAAATATAAAGGCATGGTATTTACTAAATTGTTTGCAAATTTCGCATTTCGGAATAATGAATTGATCAATCACCCAGGTTTGGAGTTTATTTGCTATTTCTTTATTAAGTTTATGACTATTTTTTATGTGTTTTATCATATTATCAGTTCTATATGCTGGTTCATAAGTATTATCACAATAATTACATTTTAATTTGTGATCTATTTTAGAATGTGTCCATTTTGTTTCTGAGTTATTATAAATTGCAGAATGTTGTGATCTCATATGTATCTTTAAACCCTGTGTTATATCGTGGTTGAATACATCAAAACAAATAGCGCATTTGATAAATTCGCCGTTATATATTGTAAAGTAATGCCATGACCACGAGTCACGAGACCTTGATGTTCTGTTTAAAAAATAAAAAGTACATATTGCTGAATTAATCAATATTTTAAAGTTTTGTTTGTAATTCTTGTGCATAACGTATAATTATTAAATACAAATAATAGATGTCAATCATTTGAAAAAAATTTTTTTTAATTTTGTGTTTATATATCGATGCTTAATATGTAGATAATTAACAAATTGTATGTTCGTAAAACAGTCAATATAATTATAATTTCATATTATTCCACTTTATGTTACATCGAGAAATCAGTATAAATAATTACTCAAATGTATCGGAAGAATGAAAAGTCGGATCATAATCCTTAAAGTAAGTTCTAATTATAAATGGCTGCTGATGATTATTGCTGGTTGATGTTGGAATGTTTTCAACATTTTTACAAGGATCAAAAAGATTTTTTAATTTAATTGATAATCTGCATAACAAAATTAACAACAAAAATTATAAATTAATCAATGTTATAAGACGCTTGAACCATGTGTACAATGAATAATTATTAATTACAATAAAATTTTTTTCTTATTTAAGCAATTCTTATTGAAAAGTTTAGTTTCTATTTTTTTTCAATTTTTTCATAATTAAATTAATACAATTTGAATACTTATTAAATATTTTAATTTTTCTAAAAATTAAAATTTATTTTTTATTTATTGTACACATTTCTGTTCATTTTGTACATAAAAAGACATATAAAAGATAAAAAACATAGCAATAAAATTTTATCGATTATTCTTCTTACCTCTGTGGTATGAATTCTTGAGGTACAATGACATCATGAACTTCCTTTAAATGTATCATAAATATAAAGGCATGGTATTTACTAAATTGTTTGCAAATTTCGCATTTCGGAATAATGAATTGATCAATCACCCAGGTTTGGAGTTTATTTGCTATTTCTTTATTAAGTTTATGACTATTTATTATGTGGTTTATCATTCTATCAGTTCTATATATTGGTTCATAAGTATTATCACAATAATTACATTTATATTTGTGATCTATTTCAGAATGTGTCCATTTTGTTTCTGAGTTATTATAAATTGCTAAATGTTTTGATTTCATATGTATCTTTAAACTGCGTTTTATATCGTGGTTGAATACATTAAAACAAATATCGCATTTGATAAATTCACCGTTATATATTGTAAAGTAATGCCATATCCATTCATCAGACCTTGATGTTCTGCATAAAATAAAAAGTACAAATTGCTGAATTAATCAATATTTTAAAGTTTTGTTTGTAATTCTTGTGCATAACGTATAATTATTAAATACAAATAATAGATGTCAATCATTTGAAAAAAATTTTTTTTAATTTTGTGTTTATATATCGATGCTTAATATGTAGATAATTAACAAATTGTATGTTCGTAAAACAGTCAATATAATTATAATTTCATATTATTCCACTTTATGTTACATCGAGAAATCAGTATAAATAATTACTCAAATGTATCGGAAGAATGAAAAGTCGGATCATAATCCTTAAAGTAAGTTCTAATTATAGATGGCTGCTGATGATTATTGCTGGTTGATGTTGGAATGTTTTCAACATTTTTACAAGGATCAAAAAGATTTTTTAATCTAATTGATAATCTGCATAACAAAATTAACAACAAAAATTATAAATTAATCAATGTTATAAGACGCTTGAACCATGTGTACAATGAATAATTATTAATTACAATAAAATTTTATTCTTATTTAAGCAATTCTTATTGAAAAGTTTAGTTTCTATTTTTTTTCAATTTTTTTATAATTAAATTAATACAATTTGAATACTTATTAAATATTTTAATTTTTCTAAAAATTAAAATTTATTTTTTATTTATTGTACACATTTCTGTTCATTTTGTTAATAAAAAGACATATAAAAGATAAAAAACATAGCAATAAAATTTTATCGATTATTCTTCTTACCTCTGTGGTATGAATTCTTGAGGTACAATGACATCATGAACTTCCTTTAAATGTATCATAAATATAAAGGCATGGTATTTATTAAATTGTTTGCAAATTTCGCATTTCGGAATAATGAATTGATCAATCACCCAGGTTTGGAGTTTATTTGCTATTTCTTTATTAAGTTTATGACTATTTTTTATGTGTTTTATCATATTATCAGTTCTATATGCTGGTTCATATGTATTATCACAATAATTACATTTAAATTTGTGATCTATTTTAGAATGTGTCCATTTTGTTTCTGAGTTATTATAAATTGCAGAATGTTGTGATCTCATATGTATCTTTAAACCCTGTGTTATATCGTGGTTGAATACATCAAAACAAATATCGCATTTGATAAATTCGCCGTTATATGTTGTAAAGTAATGCCATGACCACGAGTCACGAGACCTTGATGTTCTGCTTAAAAAATAAAAAGTACATATTGCTGAATTAATCAATATTTTAAAGTTTTGTTTGTAATTCTTGTGCATAACGTATAATTATTAAATACAAATAATAGATGTCAATCATTTGAGAAAAATTTTTTTTAATTTTGTGTTTATATATCGATGCTTAATATGTAGATAATTAACAAATTGTATGTTCGTAAAACAGTCAATATAATTATAATTTCATATTATTCCACTTTATGTTACATCGAGAAATCAGTATAAATAATTACTCATTGTCAAATGTATCGGAAGAATGAAAAGTCGGATCATAATCCTTAAAGTAAGTTCTAATTATAGATGGCTGCTGATGATTATTGCTGGTTGATGTTGGAATGTTTTCAACATTTTTACAAGGATCAAAAAGATTTTTTAATCTAATTGATAATCTGCATAACAAAATTAACAACAAAAATTATAAATTAATCAATGTTATAAGACGCTTGAACCATGTGTACAATGAATAATTATTAATTACAATAAAATTTTATTCTTATTTAAGCAATTCTTATTGAAAAGTTTAGTTTCTATTTTTTTTCAATTTTTTCATAATTAAATTAATACAATTTGAATACTTATTAAATATTTTAATTTTTCTAAAAATTAAAATTTATTTTTTATTTATTGTACACATTTCTGTTCATTTTGTACATAAAAAGACATATAAAAGATAAAAAACATAGCAATAAAATTTTATCGATTATTCTTCTTACCTCTGTGGTATGAATTCTTGAGGTACAATGACATCATGAACTTCCTTTAAATGTATCATAAATATAAAGGCATGGTATTTACTAAATTGTTTGCAAATTTCGCATTTCGGAATAATGAATTGATCAATCACCCAGGTTTGGAGTTTATTTGCTATTTCTTTATTAAGTTTATGACTATTTATTATGTGGTTTATCAAATAATCAGTTCTATATATTGGTTCATAAGTATTATCACAATAATTACATTTATATTTGTGATCTATTTTAGAATGTGTCCATTTTGTTTCTGAGTTATTATAAATTGCTAAATGTTGTGATCTCATATGTATCTTTAAACTGTGTTTTATATCGGGGTTGAATACATCAAAACAAATATCGCATTTGATAAATTCACCGTTATATATTGTAAAGTAATGCCATATCCATTCATCAGACCTTGATGTTCTGCATAAAATAAAAAGTACAAATTGCCGAATTAATCAATATATTTTAATGTCTTGTTAGTAATTCATGTGCATAATGTATAATTATTAAATACAAATAATAAATGTAAATCATTTGATAAAAGTTTAAAACATTTTGTGTCTATATCGATGCTTAATATATATGTAGATAATTAACAAGCTATATGTTCTCAAAAAGGTCAAAATAATTTTGTGATATTTTGTTTTATGTTACACTAAAAAAAGCAGTGTAAATAATTACTTATTGGTAGGAACACAAGGTGGATACGATGAACAACTTTCTTCTTCAGTAATCTCCATTGTCCTCTTATAATTATAATCTGCAATAAAATTTTCATGGTAAATTAAAAAATAAGTAAAGTTTGAATGTTGAAATAATTATGAATTATTATTATTAATAAAACATCTATATATATATATATATATATATATATATATATATATATATATATATATATATATATATATATATATATTATATATATATATATATATAGGGTACAACATTTATAGATGCCTATATATATATATATATATATATATATATATATATATATATATATATATATATATAGGCATATATATATATATATAAGGTACAACATTTTAACTTAATAAAACATTTTTATTAAACATTTCTCGACAAAAATTTAAATTTCAATCTTTTTTTACTATTTTTATAATTCGACATACACTTATTATTTAAATACAAATATTTTTGCTTAATTATTTAATTATTATACTTATTTAATTTAATAAAATTATAAATAGATATTACAACAACCTATTTAAATTGTTATAGATTACAAGAGTATAAAATACAACAGATGGCATATTTATACGATCGCATTTGAATATAATATTAGCTATATAAATAGCCTCAAATATTTATATCTATAATAATAAGCACCATCTGTCTGTATGTCTGTCTAACCGGTACTTTCACATTTATGGACCGATTTTCGTAAAACAGGTACTAAAATGTTGCAAATTTTTCGGGGATGGATGTTATGTGGTTTTTTTTAAGTTTTACACCTCCACCCACGCACTCACCCACGCAATTGCATATTTATGAACCGATTTTTTCGAAATTGGTACTAAAATAGTATATATCTAATATCTGTGACAAAATTACATTTTTAAAGTCTGAATTCTATTTAATTATTTATGATACATATACTATTCTGTTTAAAACTTACAAATGTACGTAAACACAAACAACACAAAATATAGATATACATATAAATGATTAAGAAAAACAAAATTATAATTTAATTATGTTATTTATTAATATTCAATATATTCTTGTGTGTGGTTTTAGGGTCAGTTTTATAACAGAACTTTTTTTGATATTTTGTAATTCATTCTTTTGTAATATAGTTTATTTTGTAACGAAATATTTTAATAAAATTGCTAAATTTTTTGTGAGTGATTTGATGATGAAACATGACTTTGTTAACCATCACTATGTATACTTTTTCAGGATTTTATTAAAATTTAATTTTGTATTCGATAGAATTAATAAAAATTATTACAAATATTACATGAACTATTGTTTTTTGATAGAATTCTATAATCAGTTTATTACCTTCGCTCGACGTGGCTATAATGATATCTGCTTTGTATCGTTGATCGTGCACTACTGGATAGAAAGAATTATTTTAACGAAAACTGTACGAAGAATATAAAATATTATTAACAAAAAAGGGAAAGGTCGCCGGAAAATGTATGATTTGTTACAGGAATGTAAATATTAATACACAGTGTAAATATGTCTAACGTCCTCACTTTTACCATTAAAATTATTTAAAAATGCTACTTTCTTTATTATGTTGAATATTTTAATTCTTATCAAAATGACTATCAACAATATATTTCAAAACAAATACAAAAATATATCTGATTAAATATTTTTATCAATACAATACTTTTAAAATTATTCTTGCAGAATTAATAATAAATTTATGTTATATAATATATAATGTCTTATTATAAATGTAAAAAAATTATAAATGTGAAGAATTTAAAAAAGCAACTTGATAACTAACAAATTGCCTGATAATTAACAAATTGTATTCGCAAAATAGTTCATATAATTATAATTTCATGTTATTTTGTTTTATATTACATCGAGAAAAGAGTATAAATTATTAATATTTATCAAACGAGATAATTGAATAACTTTCTTCTTTATCACACTCAAAAACTTTTCCACTTTTGTATCACACATATCGACACATTCCTCAGAATCAGTAAGGTCAGTACTTACAATTGACTGATAAAAACTGCTTGATGTGGCAGTATCGTTACCAGAACTTAAAAGATTGCTTGAAGTATTTGATAATCTGCACAGAATTGTGAAAATATAAATACCTGAATTAAAATATCTTAACGTTTTGCTTGTTAGTTATATGCACATAATTATTAAGTACAAATAATATATATATATATATATATATATATATATATATATATACATATGTATATATATATATATTAAAATATATAAATTAAATAAACCATTATCGTTGTTGTATTAATTGTTGTTAATACACATTATAGATGACGTAAACGAAATTTAATATAATAATTAAAAACCTTTGTAAATTAAATTAATAATTACAATATTTTAATTTTAAAAGAATTTTCCAACTTTTTTTAAATATAATTGCGATTTTTTGATAGGTATTAGATATTAAAATATATTTCAAATTAAAGATTAATTAACTTTGTAAATAAGTAACATTTTAAATAAAGTTGTCAATTAAATTATATTTTATTTGCAGCTTAATTTTATTTCTACTAAAAATATAATACAATTATGTTGCATATCAATTGTACAAAAAGTGCAATGAAATTTATTTCAAAGATTCTCCTTTAAAAAGAAGTCTATATTGCTGTCTTTGTAGTTGAATCAACGCACGCACGCGATGACAAGAAGACGCAAAAGAAATTATCTCTTGCTCAATTACAAAAGGGCAAAAATTTATTCGCGCTTCTTTTATCTCTGTGATTAGTTCAGGAACGTGAACTGATCGCAAAATTGGCTGCTTCCATGAAAGCTCTTGTAAAGGCAGGTCCGCTGTCTTCGTAATTTAATTGTCACTTATATGCTGCGGCACCACTAAAATTAATTCAGTTCTGTTACTGACAAAGAAATTTTTTAATTGCGCCTTGAAAATATAAGATTGAAAAATATAATATAATATATAAAAATTGTATGTAATATCGTAATATTATCTAAATATTTTTTGGTATGTCAGGATTATAATAAATATATACATATATCTATTATATAATTACAATGTGACCACATACAAAAATATATTTCGAAAAACAAAAAGGACATAAAGGTATAGATTAAAATATGATTACACGAGAAATATTGCTGTAAATATACTTATAAAACCAATTTTACATACCTATCTGTCGAATGTTTTGTATTTCATATAAATTATTTTCAAATTTTATATGAGTAATTTCGAACACGAACAAAGTATTTTGTGGGTGTATTTAGCGATTATTATATTGCAGTTGATCGCATAAATAGTCTAGTCATCAGACTAGTCTGATAATTTTCATGTTTATAGCGCATAGAATATTTGCATTGAACTGTTAATTTCATACTTGTGGCAGATAATGTATGTGAAATGCCGTAATAATATTGATAGTTTCTGTTTTGAATGTGACCACATATCATTTGTGCAATATCATGAGTTTATATCAGATAAAACGCATCTTTGATGATTATTGTCATTTGCAAATTTTCAATTTCGTAAAATTTGTAAAAAATATAAATACATAAGTTTTTATCTAAATAGAAAATAAAAATTATAAGAAAATAAAAATATCCGATCATTTCTGTGAGCTGTCAAGATAAAAATCTAATGAAATTTTAGTAAAAGAACTTTAACAGAATTGTATTAATATTTTAGTGCAAATTTATAATACAAGTCTTATTTCAATTATATATATTTTTTTAAGAAATTTTACAAATAAACGTGAAATAAATACAGATAAAATGTAAAATAAATACAGATATATAATAATGTTTATTGAATCTTAGTTGTAAATACAGATATATAAACAGATATATTTATTAGATAAAAAAATGTTTCATATGTATATAGTAGTTTATATGTTAATTAGTATTATGATTTGAGCAGCACTACATTAGCTTAAAAAATATATATATATATGTTTGACTATAATTTTTGTCCTATTAATTTTATTAAAACTACAGAGAATTTGTTGTCTAAAAAAATGATTGTATAAAAATGTTTTTTTTTTCAAGTTAGCGTATATTTATGTCTCTTTATGTTTTCGTTATGTTACGCAATTATGTATGTATATTATCACAAAGAAGTTTATATCAAAAAATATGTATAATTCTTCTTTTAAATTTACTAAAGAAAAAAATTTAATTCTTCTCGATGTAGCTAAATCGACAACAAAATATTATAATGCTTTCGCAGGACGGATATTTTCTTTCCTAAAACTGTAGAAATAAATCTTGTTATCCATAGATAGGTACTCAATAACACGTCTCGGACGTTATCTGCAAGAATCTCACGCAAAGATTTATGTTATATACGTTTACGTCTTGTGTTTGCAACCCCTCATTTGATTTATATTATAATGTAAGTTTTCAATTGATCGTTTCAGGCTCTGCGAAATAGAGCGAGAAGAGCACGTGCTAGCAAGAAACCGAATTTAGGCGATATAAAACCGGGGAGTATTATTGAAAATATCGCGCACACGCGTAGGTGAGTATTTGATTGCAAAACGCTCGCTAAATATTTATTATCTTGTTATACTGTAAAAGTTACAGCAGGATCTATTTTAATAATTTTATTCCAAACGTCTTTCATAATTAATTTGTGCATATTTAATTTTGCAATTAAGTGTTTTTTATTCAAAACTGAAAAGAGAGCAAAAGAGAGAGAGAAAGAATATTAGAATTTGACTGTACATTATTTCAAAATTGCTTTTGCAATAATGTTAAACATTTCAAAAATAAATGCAACTGTTAAATAGATTTAATTTGAAATGTATCTTTTATTTATCATGTATATAAAATATGTATATACATATGTTATACATATACTACGTTATGCTGTATCTTTTACATCTTTAATAACATTGCTGTTTTGCATGTGACGCATGTAAATACTTGTGTATATATGTATATGTATGTATTTATGTATGTATACATATACATGTATATAAATATAGATATATATACAATTTATTGTCGTTTGCTTAATTTCTTATTCTGACATTTTTATTTTTATGTGACTTTAAAAACAGACGCAGTCTTAATATAGTGTGTATGAAAATAGCGGAATTGAAGAAATGTCTCTGTTCTCTTGATTTTACGCATTTATATTTGATGTCTTCTGTAATACGAGTTGCAATCTCAAATTTTAAAAAATTAAATAGTGTACGATTTATAAACGTACACATATACTTCCATATATCCTTGAACTATTGCATTTCCGACCTCCGTGTCTGTTTAGGTCTATAAATTCTTGAATTTTTAATTCTTCCTGGATTTTTAACGTGTGTATGTCCTCACTTTTTCTCTAATTATTGAATTCTTAACTTCACAGACGTAAACTACTTGGAATAATTTATTAGAGTATCATTTTCTTTTTATTTTAGTACGAATAGAGTTGTCATTATATTACCTAAAAAACTATAATTTCATATACATATATATATATAAATATATAATGTACTATTTACATATATAAATATGTACATAAATATATATACAAGCTATATAAATTTACTATTACTTATATAAAATATGCTATTTTATATATAAATCTTTATTTATTAAATTGTGAATTCTTTTTATACAATGTGTCTTAATTCTACATTCTTTAATGATTTATATTAATTTTTATTTAAAAAATTTATAATTTCCATGTAATGTTAAAACTTGAAAGTAAAAAGAATTTAGAATTTTAATTATAATTTCTAGACAAATTTAATGACTAAAATTTCAAGTAAATTAGTTATCAAAAAATATAATCCTAAAAATTAAAAATGAATGATGATAAATGATCACTTTTCTTTCATACAATTTCGCCGTGAATAAGTCATCTGAAAATTGAGCTAGAAAACTGTAACTGAAAGCACTTTCTATAAAAGATCTAATCAGAATTGATTCGCGCGATTCCCAAGTCTGCGACAAATTGTCCCGCGGAAAGGAAATTTATTCATGCGCCTTCCAGGACGTTATATCCGGCCCGTTTGGTGTGATAAGCGCGAGGACAGGCTGCCTCCACTTAGAGCTCGATGCGCGACGATTCTTTTCAATTTTCGCGACCACGTAAGGCTTGCATTCCAACGAGACAATTTCTCGCAGAGAGAAATGGCGCCAGCTGACAGAGCGCGAGACGAGAGACGGTTTGGACCGATGGTTAAGTCTTCGGGCATCTCCGGATAATTCGCTTCTCTCGCACGCCTCCGCTCGCACGTGCTTTCATTTCTGTCATGCTGACGAGGGCGGCCTCACCCTGAATAGCCAACTACTTTCACGCGGTTTAAACGCCAGCCTTTTTGTTTTGCACCCTCTTTAAAATATGCATCTCGTTATATCTTCCTTGTTCGTTTCCTGCGTACACTCCGCGTCGAAATTCACGCAAATTAGAAATGCTTTATTGGAAAGGAATTCTTTATCGACATTTAATGTTTATATTTGAAAAGCTGATGACAAAAAAATTTGATTAATACATGTATAGAAATATAGAGCAAATTAAACGATTGAAGATTAATCGCGTTAGACTAAAAAGACTTGAATAAATGCTATGTGTTATAAATAAAAAGATAAATTTATTCTTTTGTATTATTATAATTTGTTTTATTAAAATAAATAGCATTTAGAGTAATGATTATTATGTGTTTCAAAGAAATTAAGTATGATACGACTATTATAAACGCATAATTTGAAGCGACAACAGATATATTTAATCACGCAAAATGAATAAATTCGAGGATAATTTATTTCGCAAAGAGTTTAATTATAATAATTTTAAAAAGATATTCTATTTTAACATTCGTTTGTTTTTATCCGTGTTTTCTCATTTATGATTTAATAAATACATAATATGATAAATATGATATACCTAAAAATACGTACATACAATTATTTGTGTGTATTTTGTAAATATTATAATATATTTAATTTAAAAAAATATTTGTTTTAATATTAAATTGTAAACTTTTAATAAATTTAATTTTTTATCGATAAATAACAAGATTCTTATATCTCGATTAACTGAAATTGATTTTTACTTCAAGAAAGTTGTAATTCTTGGCTTAGATAGAAAGATATTCAATATTGAAAATTGAAAAGTTATTTAGGCACAGATACTCAATTAAAGTTTTATTTAAGTGAATTTAATCACACAAAGTAAATGGTTGTTTAATTTGTAGATGGAAAAGGAAAGTAGCGAGATACTTCTTTTAACAGTTTATATAGAGCCATAGAGCTTAATATAGACATATATGTTCGTAAATATCCAACATCTCTAGTTATCCAAGAAGATTTTCGAAAAATATTAAGGTACTTTGTTAAGTACTTGAGACCTACCGACGAGAAGGTATCGTGAAGGTATAAACGAAACTTCTCAACAAACTTCTATTTACTTTTATCCCAACGAAGAGTGCAGAAAATCTAAGTATTTAAGCGCTTAAACGTAGAGAAAGCACGTACTTGGAGAAAGCAGAGCTGCTATTTAACAACGTCAAAAAAGGAATTTAAGTTAAAACGGTAGTAAACGGTATCGAAATTCTTTATTTTACTTTGTATCATGTCAAATAGGAACATTGATATTGATAAAAAACTTAATATTACAATAAGAGACAGAATATTTTATTTATTAATCAGTTTATTTTAATAATATCGATTAATTTGAATAAACTAAGATATAATTATCTTTTAAACTAATTTTTTTCTTTTCATAAAATAACGCTTTGCCTACAATAATATAAAAAAATTTTTTACGATAAATAATTAATATAAAATATTTTAATTTAACTTAATGTAATAATAATTTAATATATAAATATATATATGTATATATGTATTTATGTATTAATGTATTATTTATATATATGTACATATATATGTATGTGTATGTATATATAGTTTTAATTACAATAGTTATGAAATATTTTATCATTGCTGATTATCTTTTTTTTAACACTAAATGGTTCTTCAGTTTTTAAGGACTTTTAGAGAGAGAAAAAGACGTAATTGCATATATTTAAAAAAATGCAATTTTATTTCACATTATATTTTATAGGCGGATGTAATCATAATCAACTTGTACTTAAATATTTATATATGCGTTGGTTTTTACGAGATAAAAACTAATGCGTGTCGAGATGTTAGATCGATCTAACATCTTTACTTTGTAGCTTAGCTAGTTTTTATTATGACGGAAATTGCATTTATTACAATGATGCGCATGACGATACATATTTTCAGATGGCGTTGACAAATTAAACTTAGGTGTTTACAGTTGCAATCGCAATGCGGTAACTTTATACGTATTTTGGTATCTCTCTGGGGTGCAATGTATTTAACGTAATCCGGCATCTCGGTTAATCCCCTATGTGCACCCATGCCTGCCACGTTGTCCCTTTATCGACTTTGTTATCGCATAGACCGAGATTTGGCCAAAAGTACCGAAATTTTGATATTTATCTTGGCAATTTAATTAATGAATGTTGTTGCCACGGCATGCATATCTTATCCCGAGGCTACTTTTATCTGTGTACATGGGACTTTTATTGGATTTTACTCTAGCAATTTTCATAATTAATAATTATTCCATACGATAACACGGGTTGAAATTGCTTGCTCTTGTTATAAAATGGAAATAAATGAGGAATGTTGGTTTTAATTGAAATTGCACGTAAATCTATAATGTTTCTTTACTTTCTCTGTCAGATAACACGTATTATATACAGATGACGGAAAATTATATAATTATGTAAATTAATCATGATTTTAACACTTTTTCAATAAAAAAAGGAAGCAGTAAAATTGTCTGATAATTTGTTTTTTGTACTCTATGTATTATATTTTTTAAATGTTTGATTGTTTGTCTAATAATTTGTTTTTTGTACTCTATGTATTATATTTTTTAAATGTTTGATTGTTACTATTTAATGAAAATAAAAATTAATAAATGTAAATATAGGCCATTTTATAATGTAAATGAATGTATAATATTTCGATATATCTCTTTATAATTTTTTAATTTTCTCTATAATTTATTATGTAAAATATAGCATCTCAATTTAAAAACAAACATAGTCTGAGATTTATTTAAATCACAATTGCAAATTCATTGTGCAATAAATTTGCATAATTTACATGTAGAAATAATTTTTTACATAGGGAAGACACTGCTTTCTCGCGGGAAATTTATTCGCGCATGAATGTGTCTTATGTATGCAGAAAATTTACAATCTAAAAAGTGCAACGTCATGCTTTAAACAATTATTGAATATATCGTTTTAAAATATATAGCGGATTATTATTACCTTGTTTTAAAAATTTGATAAAATTGCAAATTTTAGGACCAATATTTTTAATTTACAGATAGGGATGTTATTAAAACTTATAGCAACAGATTAAAATTGTGATTCTTTTTGCTAAACGTGAAAATTATTTTGCAATGCAAAGCACGAGATCTGCGTAAATTCAAAGGGATTAAATATACACACATTTTAACGCAATTCCGCATTAGTTGAACAGAAAATTCTGACAATATTATTTAGAGAATATTCAATTTTGTAAAATTCGTGAATTTAATTGTAAAGAAAATAAAATTAACGATTGCGAATTTTAGTTAAAATATGCATTAGTGCGTATTAATGTAATGCTAAAAAGCATTGGATAAATTAACACAATAGTATGTAAAAATATAATAATAATGTAATAAACGTAACTTACATTAAATGCAAATATTAGCTTAGTACAAGTTATTATATTATTTAGCGGAAAATATTTATCAAGAATTTTATTATCGAATAAAATACGTTTATATTACATGTTATAGTATCCACAGGGTTTACATAAATTCTTTCTTTTTTTTATATATTTTGATATAATTCTTCATGCTTGTTAAAATTTTTCTTGTTTAAATTTAAAATAATTTAAAAAGAAGAAATAAGAGTAGAAAACTTGAATATTATAATACAGTATCTATTACACGAATGATATCTGAAATTTGATCGTCTTAATTGTTTCATAGCAAATTAAAACAAATTAAACAGCAATCGTGAGACCTTTGTCGTGAAAGAGAAACAGCGACGCTCTGTCACTCAGGATCTTGCAGGTGCTGTCAGAAAGCGTGTCGTCGCTTTGTGCATGGTAGATACGCTACTTGCCGGATTAATGCTGAGGGATGCCGGAAAAACAAGGAAGTGCATGATAGGTGTAGAGGCTTTTCTAGAGGCTTTTGACTAAGATCACGTAGTGGATATTCTGTGGCAAGGTTTGCGGAAACGGCGCTGGGGGCGGCCGCCCTGGTGGCTCCTGGGATCGAGGAACCCACGAACACCGCTTCCGGCAGCAACGAGGACGAAGACGAGACGCCTCTCGATCCCGTCGTCGTCATCTCCAACGACAAGAGCACGGAATTCTTTTTAGCCACGGTCGTCGAAGAAGCAGCGTAAGAATTTCATCATATCTTTTTATCATTCGTCCTGCCATAATACGAGCAAAAGAAGGCTCTCGGAATTTTCTTTCTTCTATCGGATCGCATTGTCATATTGTTGCGCGACGCGACTCGTCATGCTTATCATGAAAGGCAAAAAAAAATGCATTATTTCTTTTTTAGATCGCTGACGTATATTTTTTGCGATAGTAATAATACGAGATAAAATCAAACGAAAATATCGTCAAATGTGTAATTAACAAATGATTAATTATATTGCATTGTATTTGTCTGGTATCGATTGTTTGTCTCAATTATCAGCATTTAATAGCAGCACAAATCAGTAAGTGAGAAATACTGCATTACAAATTATAATGGAGAGTTTACATAAATAAAATAGTTACTTTTTAATATGAGATAAAGTAATAAAATATATATTTAATTTTTTCTGTGTATGTAGTGGGACATATTAAAAATTTAAAAATTGTTCACACATATACAGATTACATATATTAAAGAGCACGAAAAAAATACAACTTTTCTGCCGTTTCTAGCTTAGCTTTAAAAATGAAATAACCTCTTAAAAATTCATGAATGCCCAGAAAACAAAAGAGCCATATGTGATGTTTCATTTATCCATGAAATACAGAGAAAAATACAATTTTTTCGCGGTTTTTTATTACAGACGTTTAATATATTGTAAATTTCCAATATTTTATATTGTTATTATATACCTAATTTATAAGATAATTCCTTTCTTATCTAATTCTCTACAAGTTAAAAGAAACACGAAACTTGAAATTGAAATAAGTTTATTTAACATTAAATTAAACTTATTTTACATGACTTTTATTTTAAATATTTCATCAAACTACTATATAAATTTTTCAAGAGATAGATAATAATTTTCTCAATATTAGTAAATAAAATTCGCAAAATTTCTCAACAATAATTTTTTTTCTCCGAAGAGTTTTAAGCAACATAAAAAGGCTTTGAGTCAATCAAAAGTTTCAGTCTGCCCTTTAATTAGCCTATGGGCAAAGAGAAAGAGAGAGAGAAGGGTTTCCAATTAAGAGGGTATTATTTCTATTTCGCGTGCAGACCAAAATTTGCTCTCATGAATCTCTTTTTCTCATTTCAAATTTTTTCCACACTTAATGTTAAAATTAATATGAAATTACCAATCAACCAATTTGCTTGTTTTGTATTGTCTAAATTTTTTAAATGTATTTGCAGTAATGAGATACATAACAGACAACATATTATATTGAATTTTATGAAATGGTCTTATTTTAAATTAAATATACGAAAGTAATTTGAATGAAAAGTAATCTTTGTATATTTCATAAATAATTATTTATAATACATATAGATTTTTATTTAAGTGTAAAGAGAGTAATTATTTTTACGCTGCTCTAGAATAGCACTTAATATGTAATTTATTTATTTATGTATATTTTCTAGACATGCAAGGATAACTTTACAATTTTGTTAAAAGCAAGTTATAAAGTAATTTTAAATTTCTTACGAAAATGTTTCTTGAACACATTTTTCTTGAAAAAACTGCAACTCGTTATTTTTTTATAAATACACGTTTGCACTTTAAAACAGAATATTTTATTGGTGTCTTACATTTTAAAATAAGCTTCTTTCGTATAACTTGTCCCATATGACAAATAAAGACGAGGACAATTCAGGACAACACCGGAACTTTGTCTAATCAAAAAACTCGGATAAAAAGTCACGATATTTGCGACGACTGACAAGTTGAACGTTCGAAAGTTCGAGGCGGCGTCGGGCAATTGAGTGAAGTAAAAAAATTCATGGATTCTTTCGCGCATGCACGAAAGATACAATGGAAGTGAATGGCAAAAAGCCGGTGATCTCGCGGTCCATTCAATTTCTTCGTTCTCTTCACAGCTGCGGTACAATGATGGCCACTCGCTCTGCGAGAGTCTGCGTGCCTCTCTATTTCCAAAACCTCGTACAAAGCCTCGCGTATAGTACTCGTTTAATGGAAACTCGTCGCTCCGATAGTAATTCGGAAGTTCGCCAGCTAATCGCGATAGACGATCCCTTTGTACCGGCGTGCGTGAACAATTTGCATTCTAACTATTTGCTAAAGAGAGAGAGAGAAAGAGAAAGAGGGAGAGCAAGAAAGAGAAAGATTTCTTTGAAAATGAGCTAATCATTTTTATGTGCTTGGGCATTTCATAATTATTAAATAATATATATTTTCAGTATTCGATTGTCAGTGATATTAACATTTGTTTTGTCACACGAGGAATTTTGTGTTAAATATATATAAAAATTTGGTATACATATAAAATGTAGATAAATAAAAATCCTAGTAATTATACAGTTCTGTTTTGTAATTATAATTTTTAAAAAATTATGAAGATTATCTAACATTGCATTATAATTGGCTTACGATGAAAAACAACGGGATTATATAATAATTATAAAATTTATTATTTTCAAATACATATAAAACATTTATTTCATATATTGAAATATTTAATTAATATTTGAGTATATGAAAAATATTTTTTAAGAAATTTATTTAATATAATCTATATAAAAAATAAAATTGTATTATTTATTTAGAAGAATTTGTTTCTTTGTGTTCTTTTATTATTTGCTGAGGGATGTGAGACATGTTGTCACTTGCATATTTTAATACAAATTATTAATTATAACTTCTGATTCATATATTAAACTGTTAAACAAATTAATTTTCCATAAGATATTTTCTTTGATTTTCATATTTCAACTGTACAATACACAAATCAATTTATCAAAAATTACGTTGACCAAAAAGTATGTGGTCCAAAATGCAGAAATATATTATAATTTATTATTCACAAATATAGAATCTAAAGTAAAATAATTATTATCAACAGCTATCAATAAATATACCAAAAAATACATAGAAAACATTGTTCAAAGATCAAAATATATAAAAAATTTTCTATTCGATATCTGTAAAATTGAGAGATAATAATAATATACAAAACAATATATCGAGCAAGAGTAATACGTATAAGATTGTGTTCACACACACAACAATAGTTTTAAATCAATAGCTTTTCATTTCTTGCTTTGCGCGGTTCTTAAAAAAATTTTCTATTCGATATCTGTAAAATTGAGAGATGATAATAATATGCAAAAAAATATATCGAGCAAGAGTAATACGTATAAGATTGTGTTCACACACACAACAATAGTTTTAAATTAATAGCTTTTCATTTCTTGCTTTTGAGACCTCGAACTTTATAAATTAGCAAAAAACATCACACATCAAATCATAAAATACATTAAAAGTTAGTTGCAGCAGGGTGTATATATCGAGTCTCTTTCTGACACTCGAATCGCAGTTGTCGTTTCAGCGCGGTGGCGCAGGCTCAGCTGACCGGGACACCTAGTGTGCAGTCTGTGCAGCGGAACGACTCCAGCAACTATGACGGTGCAGCGAGCAGCACGATGACCCACGAGCCGCTGGAGACGAACTCCAGTCCGAGCCCGAATCCGCGAATCACCTCGGGTCCACCGTCCTCGTCGACCTCGTCATCGCCACCCCCGGCACGAGGTGCGACCAGCGTTTCCTCGCAAACGAAGAAGAACGGCAACAACGGTGGCGCGAACAAACAGGAACTGAAGCGGCTAAAAAGCGCCGGCTCGCTTTTGCCGCTGCAGCTCGCCAGGACGCCCAGCGTGCTGTCATCCTCCGGCAAGAAGGACCGGAAGAACGCGTCGTCCGGGTCAAGGTTCACGATATACAAGGCCAACAAGGCCAGTAAGAAGAAGAGAGAGAAAAGCTCGGCCAAGAAGGAACGCAAGGCCACGAAGACATTGGCGATCGTGTTAGGTAGGTTGCTCGCGTGCAGCTGCATTGATAATCAACTCTGCTTGCATCTGTTATTGATGAGTTTAAGCTTGCGAATTAAAGAGAGTGAAAGAAAAAAGAATGGAAGAGAAATAACTTAAAACTACTGAAAGATTAGAATATTTTTTATACTGCAGCATGGCTTAATCAAACTGAGAGATATTTTAAATTAATTTATTATGAATACTACATCAGAGTATAAATAAATGTTGAAATAAACAGAAACAGAATATATGACATAAAGAGTGAAATATTATAAAGTTGAAAATTAAAATAGTAATTAAAAATATTTTTATATCTTCAAAAAAAATAATTTTTTTAGACAACATAATTTCATATCTTTATTAACGTAATATACGTCCTTATTAACGTAATAGGTGTCTTTCTAATATGCTGGGTACCCTTCTTCACTTGCAACATCATGGATGCAATTTGTACGAAGCTGACGAAGGCATGTCAGCCTGGTGTCACAGCCTTCATCGTCACTTCCTGGTTGGGCTATATGAACAGCTTTGTGAATCCTGTAATATACACTGTGTTCAACCCCGAATTCCGTAAGGCCTTCCGCAAGCTGATCTGCGTGTAAATGAGCGATTCGCACCTCTTAAAGGAGAGGATCCGGAACAACAAATGTGACTAGGTGTGAGTCGTCGTATTTGTGATGTAACGAGACTGTAAGCTTTCTCGACAAACTCGCAACAGGTACTGTTGTTCTTGTATTTGGAACTGTAGCAGCTGCGTTTGCATATCGATTTTCGCATTCAGTTGCGCGTCGATCGTTTCCAAGTGAAAGAGGAAAGCTAAGTATTTCACGGAACTTTCCTGAAATTTGGAAAATATATTATCCACTGCTCAAAAAAAAATTAACGAATTATTTTCGACAAGCGTCATGTGACTTAATTAAATTAAAATAATTTATAAAGATTAGAAATATAATATAATTAGTAGAAATGTTTATTTGTGTTTAATACATTTTTCTCTTACGCATATACAATATATACATATGTTCTAGATTCTAGAAAAAATTATTTAGTATTGTTCACATTGATTTTTCTTTTAAATGCATAAACCTAAATTACTGATAAAATTTTTTGTACATACATATATTATATTTATATATACAATTTTGGTGATCAACTTTCCTTAAATTTTAATCAAACACACAAAAGAGAGGTGTAAAAATAAAAAATAAAAATTTATATCACATGTACGCGCTTGACGGAAAATAAAGAAAGGATTCCTGAAAGAGAGAATTCACTTGGTTAAAATTGACACGCAGGCAGCGGAAACTGTGTTCGCTGGTAAATTTGTTGCTATCGAATGCAGCAACGAATCATCATCTCGCGTCCACGTGCGTGAATGCGTGCACTGTGATATCGAACTATCGTGACGTGCTGACAGAGAACAACACTACGGTGCACTACTGGTATATATGTATATGTATATACATGTGCACCGACAATGGAGCTGAATTTTCGTGCGAATAGCTCAAATAATTTTGCTAAGTGAGACTACGCGAAATATAAAAAAGAAATATCGCGACCAGACGCACCGTCGCGAAATTAAAGCGAGATGAACTTTAGGTAATCTGTACAAATCGCGCTTGCGCGGCATCATTCGAGGGATGTCTCGGCAGAGACTAGCTGTTAAGATGTAATAATCGCGCATTTCGCGTATAAGGGCGAATTCCCCTTGAAGATAATTTCACGAAAGCAGATAATAATGAAGATCCAAGAGCGCGGAGGATTAAAGTTGTTGGAGGTGTATTTATTACACGCGCATATATTACACGTTTACATACCCACACACACACACACACACACGCACGCACGCACACACGCACACACACGTACTATACGTCTCCGTGAATAATTAAGTGCGCCGTGACAGTATTAACGTAGAACGTAAGGTATAGCAATATTTTTTCGCTCAAAGCAAAAGCAAATCCGAGACCGCCGTTTGTACGACGATACATAGGTACATATATGCTATACATATTCGCGAGTTGCAGTGTAACTATATGTATTTATACTTCGATACAACACAAAAGAAGGAAGAGGGAGAGATTACATATACATACACGATATAAATGAACTTACGCCGTTCCTTCAACGATATACAGGGTGACGCCAAGCACGGGAAGAGGCAGAAGCTTTAAGGACAACATGGAGAAAGATTAATTTTTGGGAACAGCAAACCTTGTATACACTAGTTTGAAAGCTTCTTAATGAGTTATATTAAGTTAAAAGGAAATGATCGTTTTTGAGTTACAATAGCAAGACACTAGAATTAAAACTTGTGTATTAGCGTATTGAGAATATGCTATTTTTTCGGAGGGTAAGAATATAGATATTTAGGAAGAAAATTTACTTTATTTAATTTTTTTGAAATAATATTAATTTCTATTTTTGTGAATTTATCAGAGAATAAGTTAAAATTTGCTGTTGGATCGTTCTTCAAAAGAGATTTTAGTATGTCGAAAAGTTTAAAGTTATATAGATTATATACGAGAATCTCAGGGTTTCTCAATTTTGTTTTCGTGAGTTGCTTGTATTTAATTTATTATAAGAATATCTTTAATTTAAGCAAAGAAATAATTAATGTGCACAATTTTATTAAAATTTTCAAATAATTATTTACAATCTATATTCTTTTAACAAGAACAACTATATTAAATACTTTGTAGATGTGGACAATAAATCTCATATATTAAATCAAAGCTGCAAATACTTTTTAAAATTAGATTCGATGTTAACTGTTACACTTGTATGCATAGTTTCTAGATATAAATAGAAAAGTAAATTTGCATAATATGCAATATCCATTTTATATCTATTTTTAACTATTAATTTTAATCATTAATTATATTAATGAAGCATATAAATAACAAATCTCCTTATTATTTATTACGTTTATCAATTTATTTTCAAAAAAATCGTAAAGCATTAGGTTTATCATCTGCAAAGTATTTATGTAATAAACAAATGAGTAAATAAATAATAAATGTAAAATACAAAAATTGAGAATCTCTGACATATATATATATATATATATATATATATATATATATATATATATAATTTTACAATTCTGCTATCACATGCAAATTTTATTCGCAAGCATAGTACGAGTTCGATCGAATGACGAAGTTTCGGAACTTGTTCCATCCGCTTCGGTGCTTTGATATGTAGGATTTGTCGCATATTCCGATATCAATGCCACGAGCTACAAATCGTGTGAATAATCAGGCGGTCTTGAAACAATGACAATGTATACACGAAGATTGAAAACACAGTTTTCGATATCACGATTTGTTCGAGCGTAGAACAGAATATCACGATTTACAGTCTCATGGTCTCATAATATTTAATTTTAATTTTTTATTATGCTAATTTTTTTTTTATTAAAGGGAAAAAAGGAAAAGATAGATCAGAGAGTGAACAAAATTATTATATTCTGAAAGAAATATTTTATTAAATAAAAAAAATCATAAAAAAGAGGGAGAGAAAGAGGTCACTCAAAATTTAGCCAGCGGGACAATTGCAATGAAAGAGTAGTACACATGGAATTCATTATCAAATTTTATATCACGTTCTGCGGAAAATTTTTGTTCCAGAGGCTCGATTGAGAGTTGTGTCGAGTAGTTTCACACGACATCGTATACGACGTACGTGTTCTAAGTTTCGACGATCCTTTCGCGTCCTCTGTTCGCGGTCAAGCATAAAGTTCGTCTCGTGACCGAATTACCAAACATATCAGTACGAGTTACACGGCGCGATAGCTGTCCTCACATCAATTTCCGAGGTGCATTTCCGCGCATTACGTATGATGGCAGACTAATGACAGGAGCGAATCAATTCTTTAACGGAGCAAATTAATTCTACACTGTGCTATTTTTTTCTTCTTGTTTCGAAATAATTATCGTTGTTACACTTCCCAAAACTTTTGTTGTATCAAACTGTGAAATGATGTGAATCAACATTAACGTTAACTTCTATTGGATTCAATCATGGAGTTCGATAGAATTGACTTTAGAAGATGAGAATTAAAGTTTTTCCAAAGTATTTGATTTTTTTTTTCTTTTTAATTCTACTGAAATTTTGTTGTGCAAAAGATATATATTTCTTGGTGATAAAACATATAAGTTTATAATTTTGAAAATATTTAGCATTACTGTTTTAATCTATAGATATTTATTAATATTTAAATTATTATTTAATTCTCTTTTAATATCACATCTTTGATTTTAATAGAAAAAAATTATAATGTAATATATGCTGTAAAATCTTGTTGCAAAATATTGATAAATATATTTTTGTTTATTTTAAATACTTATGAAAATCATAAAAACAGGGTTTAAAATTGGATAAAAAATAATTGAATAAGTTGCGCAAGATAATATTTATATTTAACAATAGAAATCATTGAAATTTAATATAAAATATATTTTCTGATATCTGTCACATGAAAAATGGAACCATCAGTTTTAACATGAGAGAGAAAGTTAAATATTTCAAATTTTATTACTATGCGAGAAAGTCGCGCAGAGAAATACAAAGTATAATCTGTGTCCTATGTTTGATTAATATTCGCAAAGTTTCACAATCTTCATCGCAACCGCGAAGTTCACATTTCAACTAATATTTGATCGATGTAATGTGAGCATCTCAAATCCCGTTTACGTTGAAAATACAGTGATTGCCTAGGGTTTCAAATCTAATCAAAATGACTAACGCATATCTGAGAGATATTAACGTATGATAATCTTTTAGAAACTCGTTGATATTTAAGAATGTTTTATTTATAGCACATAAATAATGATGTCAAATAATAAAAAATTATAAACTCACATATAGAGTTATATCATGTAACGTGACAACACGTTTCTTACTTCTTTAATATTAAATTGTTGACAAAAGATCATATTAGATCATCAAAAGATGCGATAGCATCTCGACATCGGATGCACAAAATCAATCAGCCGAATGTAAGTAAATGTCGAGCGATATTATTTTCCATTATCTATAAAAACATTTTGCATGTTTGTTGATTAAATACTTTCAGAAACAAACTTCTTACTAAAAAACCTAACAATATTTGTTTTAATACGATTATTTTATTGTGACTACTCCGAATAAGATTGGTACTCTTAATTTAAAAATCCGTCATGCTAAAAGTGATGACCTTTTTATTTTTTCGATTTCAATCGCATGGAAAGCGAGTTTGTCCTTATAACCGCAACATGTAGTGCGATATATTGTACATTTTGGTACATGTCGGGACACATAATAATTTTATTTCTCAAGCTGCATTCGCGCGCGCGCGCGCGCAACTGCACTTTTTGACATTTATTGCGCTTACATATTAAAGCAATACTTATATTAATAATGTTTATATATGCAAGCAATGCTGTGTATCCCCCTTTCTTCCTATGTTACAACGTTGCATATAAATATAAATATTACAAATATATTGTTATATAAAGATATTTATATTAATTATTATTTTGTTTCCATTTTTATAAAACAATAAATTTAGTATTAACTTTATATATATTTTTACAAAGATTTTATTTCATAAAGTTGATTCATAAAAATAAAACATTTTTTCCAAGCGTAATACATTTATAATGCGATTGTGTTGACAAAAAAATGGTACGCATACATATAAAATATTTATTTTTAAACCAGATATTACACATTTTCCACACAATAAATCTTATGCTGATAAAAATATAACATGCAAAGTACACATAAAAATTTCAAAAAATGTAAGATTAATATTAAAAAATAGTTTTCGGAAATAGAAGTAAAATCAAATAAAACTGCCAAATAATTGATCCATTGTTCTTGCCTTCAAGTTAAAATTTATTATTTAGAATCTTTAATTTTAATTCGATCGACGCCCATAATAAACAGATAGCTCGCTTAGCTTATA